TTACGCACACAAACTAATTTCCCTCCAATTTTTGCTACAATCACCATTCTCTGCCTATTCAAAACCTCATTTTTATTGTGTGGTGCAAGTATATTTTGATGCCTTCTTGTACCAATATTTATGTTTTGAATAAATAACCTACCACTAAGACGGCCATTATCACGCGTGGAAGTAGGCAGTGGTTTGGCATTTATAATACATGGCTCATATGATTGTTGAGATTTAGAACCCCATTGAGTGGTTGACCATTTTTACTTAGTGGTCTACGCCTACTCTTAGCACTGCTGACTTGATGATTCGAAAATAGCTTCACAATATTCGATGGCATCTAAAATTAAATACTAGTAACAAACGAATATCTCTCGCTTTTGAACACCATGCTTTGCACTTAAAGTAAAATAAAGTTAACTATTGTGCAGCATAGTAGTCCTTTAGTTGGTGAGCAAATGTCTCGACGAAGCAACAGCTAAACAGTTAATGCAGGCCAATGGCGTTTCCTGAATCCACCCCAAGGTTTCATCACACATTAAGCAGTTGTTGACGGGACTCTACATGAGTGAAGTGATGGTCATTACAATAATCCAGTGAAATAAATTTAAAAAGAGATAAAAGATTCTGATAACGAAAACATCTCTGAAGTAGGATGTTTTGCACTTTTAAGATTGCTATACGGTTTCAAATATCAGACGAACTATTCCACATTATGGAAGGCTAACATCAGGATAAAATATTTTGCTAGCCCTACAGACGGTGGAGGCTTTTATGGGATAAATAACTTTTTGCGTGGTAAAGGTACATGGTTTTCGCAGTTGTTATATGAAGTCGAAAAGGAGAACTTTGACAAGTTAGCGTGATAAAAACACATCTCCACATGCACTAGTCAGAAAGATGGATTAAACATGGTGGCTAGCTTATTCACATGTATATTAGGTAGTGGATTGCAAAAACATCATCACATAAACAATTACCATCTAACTTACTCAATTTCTCCTCAATGATTTTGTTGTCAATCGAATGTTTGTGTCTACCAAGCATAGTGCGTCCACGCTTCATAACCATATCGCGCACTACTTGTATGGAAGGATAACCCCATACTATGTAGGGTGAAACAATATTCAGTAGACTAAGAGTAGCCTAAAAATGGTTACGTAAGTTACAAAAGTTTAAACCTTAGTAATTTTGATGAAGACAGCTTGGTTGTATGTGTCAAGACGGAGTAAACGGAATACATCTTTACAAATATCCGCAATTTGTTCTTCATCCTCCTTTAAACGAATTACAACACCAAGTTTTGGTTGATCAGATGTTAAGCAGGGAGATTTCCGTTTGGCTATTCGCTGTAAACGCAATTCGTCTTGCGAGCGCTTGAGACCCGTCTATGGATTTAGAATCTCTAAATTATTATCCCTACCTTGATAAAACGGATTGGAGGTCGTATGAGACTTCTACGTTTTCGAGCACGTTTCCGTAACTCTTCGGAACGCACACGTTGTTGCTTGATAATATCACGACCAACTCTTTTTCTTCTTTTCAGAAGTGTAATAGGAACTGTAGGGAGCTTGGTAGGCTTGACCTCATCCCTAAACGTTAAATAACGGACAAATACAAAAACTCACATGATTGGTACCGGAATATCCAAATCGCCCGCCAAAAAAATGCGGTCTCCAATATCCTTTTCACTATCTAAAATAAATGTATTGACTTCTTTTCTGGTCTCAGTACTGTTGCAAGCACTCAATAATTTTCAATGGATGAAAGTCGAGATGCTCAACTGCACAAATTCTAGTCAACTGGCAGTTCCCTCATGGATTTTCATGTCCCATGATTTGAAAGAGTTCTTTTGTCTCAGGGCATCATGGTTCTCGTTACTGGTAGCTATCACATTAACAGGCTGGATAAAATTCTAATGCTTCAGAGAAGAGGAAAATTCCAGAAATGTGTGAATAGTTCGATTAGTTATATGATTGGTGGTGAAGAATGTGTGAGTGGATAGAAGTGTATGGAAGTAAGCGTAAACAGAGATAATAATAAGGGAGGCTGGATAATTTGCTGTCCTGAGGAAGTTATGGGGACAACGGTGGGGAGTTTTGAGGCATATATCAGGCACAAATGGCCGGAGAGGAAGAAGATAATCTGCATGTATGTGTTTATCATGTTTCTCCTTGAAGCTATCCAACATCAAGTTAATGAAAAGGCTATAGACAAAATACCAGAAGATTTCGTTTACCGGGCTTCCATACGGGAGGCTCTAGGTAGGAACAAAGGTATATTTGACGAATATAAATATAAGTGAGTTACGAGATACGCTTTCGAATAAATGAGTAAATGTCAACCTTTTGGTCATTACCTCTAAGGTCCGTGTTTGTACTGAGCAGAAGTAGGTCTGTTGTGCAGTTTTAAGGAGTGTGTTGGAAGATCAATCCTGAACCATTTTACTCGGACGGGTGAAGGACCAATGACCTAAGGCTCACTACATAAGGTTTGAACAGGAGTCCACGAACTGATCTGAAGTCTCGCCTTTGAAAACATTCCATTGAATTGTTATTCTTTTGGGGTGTTTGGGTAAACACTACATTCCCATACTATAAATAAAGGTTGAAAAAACCTTTGGGAACTACGTGCAAGGTTCAAATGTTTAAATGGCCGAAAATATGCCGCAACGTTAACAGAGTTACTGCATTTTCATCTCATTGCGTAAAGCGTTGCGTCATAGAGTACTGAGACTCCTAGATCTTTCTCAACTTGAGATACGGATAAAGGGGTATTGGCTAAGTTTTGTGGGAAGTGTGAAGCAATTTAGAATGAAATACTTCGCCGGTCTGTTGAGGGTGGCCTGATACCAAAGATTTTGACCTTGTTTATCAGATGTTTGTGATTGACCATATCAAAATTTTGTGGGAAGTCAAGATATATCACATCAGACTTCCTCTTGGAACCAAGGTTGGCCACTCATACATCCATCGCATTCAGTAGTTTGTTTATACATTGTGAAGGTTCCTGAAACAGTATTGCTGTGGAGAGTATAAGTCGACAGGTGACTGGTAGTTACATGAAGTGTCCAACCTGAGGAACTCCATAACTTTTAGGGGTGCTGAAAAAAGTGCCGCTTGTCGATAATTTATGGATTCACTGGTTCGGCACCTTTGAAATTTTGTGCGATATGCACCAGCTCTCTGTTATCTGGGACCGTGCTTTCACTTAACGAATTCGAGGAGATCACGTTAAGTGGTATTGCCAATATTGAAATCCGTTTCTCCGGTGAAGCTTAATGAACTGTGTACGTGTTATGTGGGGTGTGCCTGTTTAGATGTTCCAGTTTCCGATTAACTAGCTCAACGTTTGCGGCTACTTCCACGATTCCTACTAGGTCACACGTTATGCTCTCGCTAACTTATGTTTGACCGTTCAAATTTTTGAATTTACGGCTTAGCCACTCGTGGTTCGTCTGTATTCCTCTCAGTAGCACATTGTATGTTTTAGTAAGCCCTTTAGACTACGGTTTGCCTGGCGCAGTACGCGACGGTTTGTGAGAATGACTTGCCTGATCGTGTACAGTAGAAATCCCTATGAGTTTCATCGACAGATCGATGGTAAATTTTCCGTTCAATTGTTGTGGATAGTCTTTATCGTTGATGCGTCGAACGAACTGAAAGTCAAATACCTGCTGTCAATGGGATGTTTTACATCCGCTGTACCAATAACATTGAAGCCTGCAGCGATGTGATCACTTTTTTATAGAGCGCCATGATTGATGCGTTTCAATGCGTTTCGATATTGTGAAGCCATTTAATTTCAAATGCAGAGGAGGCGAGTTTTGTGTTTTTGGCTGATATTTCAAAATGTAAACAGTAATTTAGCGCTTCCCTCTATATTTACTCCAAAAATAAACCTAAGAGTCTTCTATATTTATTTCTAGCAGCAGTTAAATTTCGCATGACATATATTTTATAGAAATCACAAGTAATAAACGTGAAACCACCACATTTAGTAGGTTGATCAAGAGAACTTTCAAAATTAATCCAGCAGCTTTTCATGAACTACCTTCTTTACCGTCGAACCAGCAATACACTTTATAACAAGGACAATAACTTCCTTGAATTAATCTCACGCTCGGGACTCTGGGGATCCAGAATTTCGACGGATTGATATATGCCAGGTCATATAAGAAAATCAATATAGACTTAAGTGTACAGAATATGCCTAAGGCGATTGTTACACTGAAGTACTCTTACATTGAAGGATCATATGTTGTACCAGATAGCATACTGAAAAAAGTATGAAATGATCTCTGTGTTAAGCTCCCTAAACTTCTCGACAAATAACTCTCTATAGCGTGTTAGCCTAATACTTGGAAGACGGCACATATTATCCCCACAATTAAGTCTGGGCCTACAGCGAATTTCCAGAACTACTAACAAATAAGTTTGATCTCACTAGTATCTCGGATGATTAAGAAGTAGTAAAGGCGACAGCAGTACAACAACTTATTAACAATCTCATCTCGACCTCACGGTATGGGTTCCTGAGGTTCAGATCATGCGATACGTGCCCAATAGACTATTTGAATAGTGTGACTCTAAAACAATACAAAAACCTTCCAAAAATGGTTTTATATTAACACTAATCATAACAATTTGTTCTCAAATGACAATATACATGCAAGATCAAAATGTTCAATTTGTTAACATATATTCTGTGAAAGGTTGTTCAACTAGATAAGTATTTAGAAAGGTACACATGCCTTTTGTAGAGGGCTAATATTTTTTGAATAAAGTTGTAAATGATGTTTCTGACTCTGGAGTGTACGATACAATGGTCAGCATGTGTTGTGTTCGTTGTGTTGTTGGTCGAAATTCAATACAACTTAAATCCAGGTTTCTATATAACAAGAATTGATGAAGAGATTGTATACTGATCTTCTTGCTGAGGTTTGACAGATAATAATTTGATAGGCTACTAGGTGAAGCTCCAAAGTCTTGAGCAATTTCAAGGCTAATATTTAAGGTTTACAATAAGGTGCAACAAAAGAGAAACGAAGATAAAGGGGTGAGAAGCAGAACAGACAATGTTCTTGTTTAAAGCTGAGTCATGACTCAGAACATAAATTTTTGGATAAAACAAATGTATGATTGCTCCCACCTTCCTTTTTCCATATGTGAACTCTAACTCTACACATGCATTTATATAGGTTAATGAAGACAAGTAACTCGTAAGTTAACGAACATCTAAATAATCTTATGAATAGAGGAGATTCAAAAGAAGTGAATTGTTAGAAATTACGTTCAATAAAAGGACATATTATTAACGACCTGCTAGGCTTAGTTAGCTCGCCGGCATTGATCTACGCAGACGATGCGAAGATCTGGAGGTCCATTAGAAGCGAAGAGGATTCGACTGAGCTTCAAAAGGACCTTACATCTAATGAGAAATGGGCAGTGAAAAACGGTTTAAAACTCAACCAACCGAAGTGCCACGTCATGCATTTCCTGACTCATATGACGCAAACCACCTACACTCTCAATGGAAGTCCGCTCCCTAATGTCTCCTCAGAGCGCGATCCTGGTTTAATAACCACAGAAAGCCTCCACACCATTCCGAACTATGTAGGGGATGCAACCAAGGAAAATGCGACTCTTCACTTTATGCGAAGACAGCTTGGTGCTATCACCCCGAAATTATTTTTAACCCTGTTTAAGACGTACGCGTGCCCACAGTCCTGAGATCACTCAATTAATCTATCTAGCCTATTATCTCTGTTTCCTCTCCCTTGCTTACACTTAGGTCCTCTCTCACAATCTTCACTACCAATTAATAAACTAAATTCATCTATATAATACTCAGATCTGAAATTTCGTTCATATTATCATTGGAATTTTATCCTTATTACACTTATTACTCTCCACATTGCAACTAACTGATCTCCGGTTTGGTAATGTGACGGCTGCTAGTATCCAGAAACCCTACTGCCCTGAAACAAACGTTTCATTCAAATCTCGAGACATACGAACACACAACCAACTGCCAACTGACTAGAATTAGACAATCGAGTGGCTAGACCTCCATCCATTGGACATTACCGAACACCTGGAACCGTACCGGAAGAACAAGAATCGAGCGCGAAGAAATCAAATTGGTTTACACTAGCTCGTGAAAAAGATATTGGGTATTGAATATGTTTATTCTCAGGTAACAGTGTGTTACATGTAGCATACCAATTTACTGGCTAGATCATATTGATAAAAATGCTTCCACATTTTTAATAAAAGGTTGCACCACCACAGCCTACAAATGTTGACAATTCACAACCGTAATTAGTGCTTCGTGTCAATTTTTCGATGTAACCTTGTTTTCATATCAGAACGTAGTTTGATATGCAGATTTATTAGTTGTCCGAATAAATCTTGAAAAAGGGATGTAATTTCGATAAGTGCGTCATCAAAATAGCAAAATGTATTTTTGTCAGTTTTCCGAAGACCGATCATCTGGTCACGTTACCGCCTTCTAGAGATTCTACACATTTTTATTCTTTCAACTAATTTTTCTGGCTTTTCTTAGTACTTGGTTCACCTGAAGATAAACT